AAAAAAAATAAAAAAATAGTTTCCGAGCTTGCCAAAATAACAATTGAAATGAACGGATTTTATTTTGATGCTATCCATTAATAATAAAACATCAAACATAATTAGTCCTGGATTACTAGACAAACTGAGAACTGAATAGTCGGTTTCGTGGCTTGAATATTTCATAACTCCAGAAATTGACATTTGTATGTTAAGTAAGTTTTGATTATTTTGCTGTTTTTGGTTTATTCAGGCTCGAAAGCATGAGAAGGGAGAAAAGAAGACCTTTTGTACGTGTGCTTCTCCACGAGCACTGTTTGATAGTGGATAAGTAGGGAAGAATTACTAAAAATAAAGTAGGAAGTAGTGTCTTTCTCGTTCTAGCTTGAGTATTGGTATTTTTTTAAAAGATTTATTTATTTGAGAGAGAGAGAGAGCGCATGTGCATGAGCAGGATTGGCAGAGGAAGAGAGAGAATCCCAAGCAGAGTCCCACTGAGCACAGAGCCTGATACGGGGCTCGATCTCACGACCCCAAGATCATGACCTGAGCCAAAACCAAGACACCCATGTGCCCCTCAGTATTGGTATTTAAAAAAGAAAAATTCCAAAAATCTAGTAAGTGCTTTCTGCAGTTCCAGGCACATGGCTCTGCGTTCAGAAGACAATACTTGATGGAGAGTAGGGAGTCGCCCTGTTTATCTTCAGAAGAACTGGTGGCAGTTTTTATTTTCTTTTAGTCCTGAATGATTTTTCCTCCACACTCCACAGTCCGTGTGAAGAACTCACACACTGTAGCCAGAGCCCTGATCGGGAGCGTGGGCTCGGGGGGCTGCCGGGGATGCTCTAGCTCTGTCCCGGGTAGCAGTGCACACGGCACCCTTGCCCTCAGCTCTGCGTCCTTCCGAGTGCACAGCAGGTACTGACAGTGACGAGACCGTGACCTTCACACTGTGTTTACTGCCCACTCAGACTACTGCCCCGGTCGCTCCAGCCTTGCCAACAGATGTCAAAGATGAAGAGACTGAGAGAGCAATGGAAGCCTGTGGACTGTTGGTACGACAAGAGAAACATTTTCTTAAAAGACTGTCATGACTTACAACCTTGCCTCTTCCGAGGCCAGTGTTAGATGCCATAATTTTTAGCCTGACTTCTCCTTCCTGTGGGCCTTTCTGTCTCAAGTGAGGGACATAAGGCATATCTGGAAAAGCAGCCAAAGGAAGCTGGGAATGTGGTAGGAGTGAATTTGGTGGTGCTGGCGTCAGCAGCAGTGATGGTGGGATGCCTCCAACCCTTCTTGTTCAAAGTAAGCATCCTCCAAAGCTCTTGCCATGGGGGTGAGCAGGCGTGGACTCCTTCATCAGCCTGTGATGTCCGTCAAGCAGCTCATCATTTCTGACGGGGACACCTGCGCTGGACCAGTTCGAGGCCAGATCACATGGCGTGCTGGCCTCCAGGGAGCTCCGTGTCTTCATCTCCCCGGCCATAATCAGGATGCCGTGTGTACCACATGCAATTAAGCACCAAATTGTGTAGTGCGCACAGAAATCAATAACCCCTCTGGTTTCCTTGAGTACGAGTTGTAAATACTGCACGATGAGTTCTGTCTCCCTGGCTGCGTTTCTTAGACAGAGATACTGAAATCAAGGTTGGAATGTTTACAGTGGAAACCTTAAAAAAAAGAAAAAAAAGGTAGAGCTGATTGGACACGTCTACTAGCCTGTGTCCTTGTCCCATTCGCACCCCAGCACATGGTAGGGAGTTGGATATCTGTTGTCGCTGATCCTTAGTTTTTTCATCCGTGTAATTCTTTGATTACTTTGAATTGCCCGTTTCTTGTCTTCTAGGACTTCAGACCTCTTACCACATGAGCTTCAGGAACCACCTTAAAGGTTATTGAAATTCCATTATCCATTGGGTGCTTGAATTCCTCTACAGGAAGGAACAGTCTGGAAAGGAAAATATTGAGCCTTAGCATGCCCTTTTGAAGCTCGCCGTCTTGTAGACTGAGACCTCAGCCATAAACAGGGCGCCACACATTTAACGTAATTCCTCCTCGGTATTTCTTGGGCACTAATTGCGTGCCCAGCCCCAAGGCTTTCTGAAGAGACTGGAGCGCGGCTGTGTGGTGGCTGAACAGAAGTGACACGGCACCTCCCCCCTCGCTTGTTCTTGTAGCTGGAGGGGTAGCTGGTGTGTGGGGTGGGTTTCCACATAACCGCTGGCGTTTATAGAGTTGTTAACTTTAGGTGTCCGACACGGACTCCTTCGACCCTCACCGCAACCGTATGAGATACATATCACTGACCCTGTTTTAGAGGTGAATCAAGTACGATTCAGAAGTACTAGAACTTCTCCAAAGTGGAACAGAACGGTTGCTGGTAGGATTTAAACTCTGGTCTCTCTGATTCTGGAGTACAAGTTCTCCCTACCCGCCCTGTGACATGCTTATATTTTGCAATGCTTAATTCTGAACGTTTGTCATTTTCTCAACAGACTCCACGAAATGAAACCGGGACGCTTATGGCTGCATCTCGCGCTGCTTGGGGCCTCCCTGCCCGCCGGGCTGGGATGGATGGAGCCAGGACCCAGCAGAGGCCTGCACACGGGTGTGCGTGAGCCACGGACGGAGGTATAGTCCCATAACTCCTGATAGGACACTTAAAATGTGCTGCTTTTCAGTATCAGCATATCTGGTTTCTTCTCTACCTTTTGTTTATATCAGTTAGATTGCAGTGTGAATTTAAAGTGTTCCCCCTTTTTGGTAGGGGACAGAAGGACACAACATGCATTGGTCTGGACAGGACGTTTTATATCACGCTGTATGTAATCGTCTGAAGTCTCTGCAATGCTGAAAATGTGTTCTAAAACCAGGCTTTAGTTGTATGGTTTGTCTTCCACAAAGACCCTCAAGAGAATGGCCTTTTTGTATATTTAATAAAACTCTGAAAATGCAGACTCAATGGTGGAGCACACCCACGTGAATTAATGAAGTCTTTTAATTATAAAATGTGTTTTAAAAGAGAGAGACTCCTTTTCACGTACACAGATAAAAAGAACCAGGCTGAGAAAGAACTGGCAAGTAGGGGTCCTAAGGGAGACTCTCTTAATGAACAGATAAGAATGATTAATGGCATGTGAGGTATATATAAATGCTTCTAAAGTGCTTGAAAAACTTATTCTCAAATGCCTCCCTAGAGAGTCTCGATACACTGCTAATTGCTTAGCGAACTTGGTCTTAAGTACCAGAGAGGCTACATAAGCTACACCCTAGCCCTGCTCAGGTAGGAGGCCTGAGGAATTCGGGGCTCGTGAGGGGAACAGTTTCTCTGCAGGAAATGCTTTGTGTGTGCCAGACCCTGAGAAAGGACTACACCCTTTCGTTAAAGCTACCTGGGATTTTCCTGATGACATGGTAAATACACCTTCCTACCCAAGAGCTTCTCGGGCCCTTTCAGCTTGCACTGCCCTCCTGGTACACACCCAACTCTTGTCTCTGTGCTTGTTTCCTGTCCTGTGGAATGAGAGAGAAAAATTACCTCCAAAAGCCAACATTACCAGAGAGTGAATAATGACACACAGCGTATGGATGGTAGGATTAATGCATTATTTGATCAGAGGACATGATTTCTTTCTCATTATTACTTAATCGTAATGCAATCCCAGACTTACAAACCTTAATCTCTGGGGAGCTTCAGAAGTTGTTGAATGCACATGTTTGCTGCTGAGGTTCACGTGGCTTCCTTTTGTGGTGAGCAGATGATTGAAGAGCATCACTCTCTCTCCCATCACAGTCCATGAAGGATGCGACTTAATGGTCTTTTGAAAGAGCCTGGAGGCTTACTTGCTAGCCAGCACAGCATTTCCCATATGGGATGGCTTAATCATTACACTCATATTCACACAGAGGGAAAAGGATCCTACAAATATATTGTTGAATATTTAATAGCAAAGCAAACAGGCAAACACACAGATAAGCTTTTTTTAGTCTTCTTACTATTGGGGCTCATTGGCCCACTGTTTTAAATTGCCTATTTCAATTAAACGAGTCAAACCAATTAAGGTAGGATTTAGCTGGAGGTAAAGTGAAGGTAAGTTAATATCAACCGAGGGCATCTTTATCTTAGCTGTTAACAGCCTAACACTTTGTGCACCATCAAGAAAGAGCAGATGCCTCATTCTGAGGCAGGAAGGGTTTTTGTTGGTTAGTTTTGGGGGTGTTGTTTTTCTAACCCCATCAGGACAGAGCCCAGGAGATGAAACTGTCTCCCAGTTCCAGGCCTCGTGCTGCTTAGGGAAAAGGAAGTGATGCCCATACAGACTCCAAATGCAGAAGAGCTGCCCTGTTGATCCAGTGTTTGTGGCTATGGATTGCATTTTTGCAAACTGTGATAACTTCTACTCGTGGAGTCTGCTTTTATCAATGATGAAATGAGCTGATGACCATGCGGATGGGCCTAGGATATAGGACAGCCTCAGCAAAGGTTCAGATAGAGCAGAACATGGATATGTAACTGAACTGCTTGCTGATTCTGACCACGCTCCATGTATGGCCTCTTCATGCCATTCTTCACTAGCATCCTCATGTCTGGGATGCTGTCCCTTCCTCCCGCATGGCTGACTCTTCTCCTCCAAGGCCCAGCTCTGGTTCTTACCTTTTCTCTGGAACTTTCTTTGAGTACGCTTTGGTCACATTTGATGTCTTGTTCTGAACTAGTCCTTCTTTTTTTTTTTTTTAACTCATATTTTTATTTTAGCATACAGAGGAAGCCTATCTTATCTATGTTTCTCTTCCTCTCGATGTCTAATAATTTTCAGAGCAAAGGAGAGACTCCTTGTGTTTTTGAGCTGATCGGTATTCAACATTTAGTACTAGTCGTGAAGTCACTCTCGCGCTTTCAAAACTCAGTCTAGACAGTCAGTCATTTCCGTGTGTGATAGCCCTCCCTGCGCGGCAGGTGCATGTCCAGCGGGGACATGAACGGTGCCCCAGCCATCCTGTAAGCAGCTGGCAGGCCAGCCTCGCTGCTCATCAACGTCCAGGGCGCTCCTTGTATGTTAGAGCTTCTGGGCAGTTTCTTGTTTGAATTGCAGCTATTAATGCATCCAGAGCTGACTGCCAAACTATACTAAACTCCTCTAGCAGTTTCCTCAGACAGTCTTACTTTCTGGAAGAATCATAACCAACTGAGCTTCCTGAGACTCCATAAATTAATCAGAAAACCTCTTCAGGACCCAAATGATAAAATGTTTCTGTGTATGTTTTCTTCCTGCTAATAGTACTTTACAAAAACATTTATTGACTTCAGATTTTTAAAGTACTTGGAAAGCATTAATAAGATTTGACTTCCCTTTAAAGTTATTACACCAATTACTTGAGTGTCCTAAGGGTAAATAAGAATTAAATGACCAGTGCATGTGTGTGTTCACGCATTTTTAAAGCAATGATGGCATATGTAAGTTTTGTTAAATTATTGTTTTATGTACAAAGACTGCAGTTGAAATAGCTTCAAGGAGCTTATCATTTTACAAATGTAGATGAAAAGAAATGGAACTGGGTGGAGTGCCTCTTTAATAAGAGCTGAGTGGCAGACTGTGGCCTAGAATAGTAGTGAAATTCTGAATTCAGAGGAAACAATTCTGAGACCTATGACTCAACGAAATTCTAAAATATCCAGTGTTTGTGGCTATGGATTGCACCCCCCGGGCACTAATTTTTAAAAAATATTTCTTTTCTTGGGGCACCTGGGTGGCTCAGTCGTTAAGCATCTGCCTTCGGCTCAGGTCATGATCCCAGGGTCCTGGGTTCGAGCCCCGCCTCGGGCTCCCTGCTCGGCGGGAAGCCTGCTTCTCCCTCTCCCACTCCCCGCCTGCTTGTGTTCCCTCTCTCACTGTCTCTCTCTGTCAAATAAATAAATAAAATCTTAAAAAATATATATATTTCTTTTCTTGAATCAGTGTCCCTGTTCTTACATAGTTGATTGAATTTAAGACAATGCTTTTTCTAGTTATGGTCTCCTCCCCACCCCCAATTTATGCCCCACTCTTCTGATTGGTGACTGGGAGAGTAGCTGATCTTCTTGTAGGCTTTGAGGCATCCGTTATTTACCTCTCCTTCCTCTTGCCCCTCGGTCTGTGGGTGTGGGGAAACCACCTCCCTTCTCCCTGTGAACAGCTGGGGTCCGGGCTGGAATTTTCTGAACCTCATCTGTAGACCTGTGTGCATCTCTTATGGATGTTTTCTGTGGAGTCCCCATTCCTAGACACTCAGTGGTGCTAACTCCAGCATTTAACTGGCTTGCCACGATGAGCTTCTGGGTGAGCTGTCTGAGCAAGAGGCCTAAGTGGGCTTTCCCTGGGGTGTGGGACTGCGGGCTGCACCCCTCTTGGAGGATCCAGGACTTCTGTGCAGCTGTAGAACTGGCATGGGGCTGGGGGGCGGCTTCTTCTCTGATTCTGGAATATTCAGGCATGGCTCTCTACTGATAATTCTCTGTCAGAGGGTGTGGATTTTTAGTTTTTCAGCTCAGGTTGGGAGAATACAACCTGCCATCTGCAGATGTGTAAGTAAATCCATGGTATTTTTGGTGGAAGATGGTGGCAAGTACTCCAAGTCCCGGGGTGGGGGGCAGGTGGAGGAGCCGGTTCCCACCTCTAGAGTTAGTGTGGGCTGGGCCCTACACCAGGCTCTCTTGAACTTCAGTGGGCTTGCAAAGAGCCGGGGGTCCTGTTAAAATGCTGATGCAGTAGATCTGGGTAGGTCCTGAGATTCTGCATTTCTCATCCGCTCCAGGTGAGGCTGATACTTCTGGTCCCAGGGGACACTGGGCAGCAAAGGCATAGAGGAGTTCCCCATACCCTGCCTGCACACATCCAAGAAGGAGATTCCATTTGGTGATGAACCCCAGCTTTTTTTTTTTTTTTTAGCTTTTGTCAATATGATGAGGCTGCCTGTCATCAGCAAAAGGAGAGGAATGTACAGGCTGCAGTCCTGCTGGGAAATAGCTTCACACTAGGCGGGCAGGTGGGCGAGGGGAGCGGCGGAGTGAAGTAGCCTGGCTCTCAGAGTCTTTTTCACCTATTTTGAAGCTAGCAGGTGGACAGGTAAACTTGGTTTTCTATATGCAGGGTTCCTCACTGGCTTGTGGGCAGGTGATTTAAATCTTGAGGGTCCGCCCACACTCCCGTGCTCCCACCCATCACTGTCTCCCTGTCGCCTGTACAGTTCCTGTCCCCAGGGCCCAGCCAGGCTTTTCTGGGGATGCACCTGCCGGGCTGGTGTGGTGTTTGAGGGTCTTGTTTATGTATTTATTCTCGGACAGGGGAAGTCCCTGTCTTCGTCTTCATGTTGGAGGTTTCTCCTCTCTCACTGCTCGCGGCAAGCCTCCCACCCTGTACCCTGGTTAGTGCACTGCGGGCCCCTGGTGTAGTTTGAGATCATAGTTAATAGAGTTTTAGTTGGCTCTGAAAAGTTCTGTGACCCAGGAAAATGAACATTTGTGAGTTCACAGAAAGCCATTATTCTTCCTCTTAATTTAGCATTTACTCTTTTTTTTTTTAAGATTTTATTTATTTATTTGAGAGAGATAATGGAGAGAGAGAGCACATGAGAGG